CTGTGTTGTTTTTCCACCTGTTTACCTGTGTTGTTCTTCCACCTGTTTACCTGAATTGTTCGTGAACCTGTTTACCTGTGTTGTTCTTCCATCTGTTTACCTGTGTTGTTTTTCCAAATGTTTACCTGTATTGTTCTTCCACCTGTTTACCTATGTTGTCCTTTCACCTGTTTACCTGTGTTGTCTTCCATCTGTTTACCTGTGTTGTTCTTATATCTGTTTACCTGTGTTGTTTTTCCACCTGTTTACCGGTGTTGTTCTTCCACCTGTTTACCTGAATTGTTCGTGAACCTGTTTACCTGTGTTGTTCTTCTATCTGTTTACCTATGTTGTTCTTTCACCTGTTTACCTCAATTGTTCGTGAACCTGTTTACCTGTGTTGTTCTTTCATCTGTTTACCTGTGTTGTTCTTTCATCTGTTTACCTGTGTTGTTCTTCCATCTGTTTACCTGTGTTGTTCTTTCATCTGTTTACCTATGTTGTTCTTTCATCTGTTTACCTGTGTTGTCTTCCATCCGTTTACCTGTGTTGTTCTTTCATCCGTTTACCTGTGTTGTTCTTCCATCTGTTTACCTGTGTTGTTCTTCCATCTGTTTACCTGTGTTGTTTTTCCACCTGTTTACCTGTGTTGTTCTTCCACCTGTTTACCTGAATTGTTCGTGAACCTGTTTACCTGTGTTGTTCTTCCATATGTTTCCCTGTGTTGTTCTTCCATATGTTTACCTGTGTTGTTCTTCCACCTGTTTACCTATGTTGTCCTTTCACCTGTTTACCTGTGTTGTTCTTCTATCTGTTTACCTGTGTTGTTCTTCTATCGGTTTACCTGTGTTGTTCTTCAAACTGTTTACCTGTGTTGTTCTTCTATCTGTTTACCTGTGTTGTTCTTCCACCTGTTTACCTGTGTTGTTCTTCCATCTGTTTACCTGTGTTGTTCTTCTATCTGTTTACCTGTGTTGTTCTTCCACCTGTTTACCTGTGTTGTTCTTCCATCTGTTTACCTGTGTTGTTCTTCCACCTGTTTACCTGTGTTGTTCTTCTATCTGTTTACCTGTGTTGTTCTTCCACCTGTTTACCTGTGTTGTTCTTCCATCTGTTTACCTGTGTTGTTCTTCTATCTGTTTACCTGTGTTGTTCTTCCACCTGTTTACCTGTGTTGTTCTTCCACCTGTTTACCTGAATTGTTCGTGAACCTGTTTACCTGTGTTGTTCTTCCATATGTTTACCTGTGTTGTTTTTCCAAATGTTTACCTGTGTTGTTCTTCCACCTGTTTACCTGTGTTGTTCTTCCATCTGTTTACCTGTGTTGTTCTTCTATCTGTTTACCTGTGTTGTTCTTCCACCTGTTTACCTGTGTTGTTCTTCCATCTGTTTACCTGTGTTGTTCTTCCACCTGTTTACCTGTGTTGTTCTTCTATCTGTTTACCTGTGTTGTTCTTCCACCTGTTTACCTGTGTTGTTCTTCTATCTGTTTACCTGTGTTGTTCTTCCACCTGTTTACCTGTGTTGTTCTTCCATCTGTTTACCTGTGTTGTTCTTCTATCTGTTTACCTGTGTTGTTCTTCCACCTGTTTACCTGTGTTGTTCTTCCATCTGTTTACCTGTATTGTTCGTGAACCTGTTTACCTGTGTTGTTCTTCCATATGTTTACCTGTGTTGTTTTTCCAAATGTTTACCTGTATTGTTCTTCCACCTGTTTACCTATGTTGTCCTTTCACCTGTTTACCTGTGTTGTCTTCCATCTGTTTACCTGTGTTGTTCTTATATCTGTTTACCTGTGTTGTTTTTCCACCTGTTTACCTGTGTTGTTCTTCCACCTGTTTACCTGAATTGTTCGTGAACCTGTTTACCTGTGTTGTTCTTCTGTCTGTTTACCTGTGTTGTTCTTCCATCTAATTACCTGTGTTGTTCTTCCATCTGTTTACCTGTGTTGTTCTTTCATCTGTTTACCTGTGTTGTCTTCCGTCTGTTTACCTGTGTTGTTCTCCCATCTGTTTACCTGTGTTGTTCTTCCACCTGTTTACCTGTGTTGTTCTTTCATCTGTTTACCTGTGTTGTCTTCCATCTGTTTACCTGTGTTGTTCTCCCATCTGTTTACCTGTGTTGTTCTTCCACCTGTTTACCTGTGTTGTTCTTCCACCTGTTTACCTGTGTTGTTCTTCCACCTGTTTACCTGTGTTGTTCTTCCACCTGTTTACCTGTGTTGTTCTTTCATCTGTTTACCTGTGTTGTTCTTCCACCTGTTTACCTGTGTTGTTCTTCCACCTGTTTTCCTCTATTGCAAGAATCAAGTGTTTGTTTCTATGTTACATATTAGGTATACATAGACAATTTATATACATAGACATGAATATCCCCTTGTGTGACCCGTCACGACAACTTTTGACAACGACCCTTATACACAAAAGTCTCGATGGCACAATCATTATAAACATCATTCATTTTGTTTTGGCCTCTAACAGGAATTCCAAGTGGTTGTAAAAATACAACCAAATTAATTCAAATTCGACCTCCCATTGTAATGCTCCCAAGCTGTATAAATTAATATAAGCCTTACTGTTGAGTCCTAGAAGGACAAAACAGTTGTATGACGAAGTTCAATCCATTATTTTTTACTCCATTTCTTAATTCGTATTAAAAGAGCTATTCAATTGTGTGTATAACAATTTTGATAAATAATACAGTCTTATCTATCATGTCCACAAACATTAAATGAAGACCAATTGTACAAATTCATCATTGCTAGAGATTTTGAGTCACATGTTCAAAAGAGATTGATCAGTATCTGTAAAGTTAACTGACTACGCTCAACACACAACGAATAACGCGACATCACATAACGCACGGCGGACGACGCTCAACGCACAACGGACAACGAATAATACGACAACGCATAACATACGTCGCACGAACCACGACACGGCGGACGACGCACAACGCACGACACACTGCGGACGACACACGGCGGACGACGCACAACGTACGACACACAGCGGACGACATACGACGCACAACGTACGACACACGGCGGACGACGCACGACGCACAACGTACGATACACGGCGAACGACGGACGACGCACAACGTACGACACACGGCGGACGACGCACGACGCACAACGGACGACACACGGCGGACGACGGACGACACACGGCGGACGACGCACGACGCACAACGTATGACACACGGCGAACGACGGACGACGCACAACGTACGACACGCGGCGGACGACGCACAACGGACGATACACGACGGACGACGCACTACACACGGCGCACGACGCACAACGTACGACACACGGCGAACGGACGACGCACAATAGACAAGGTACAACAGATGGCGCCGTAACTCACAAGAACGACGCTCAACGCACAACGGACAACGAATAATACGACAACGCATAACATACGTCGCACGAACCACGACACGGCGGACGACGCACAACGCACGACACACTGCGGACGACACACGGCGGACGACGCACAACGTACGACACACAGCGGACGACATACGACGCACAACGTACGACACACGGCGGACGACGCACGACGCACAACGTACGATACACGGCGAACGATGGACGACGCACAACGTACGACACACGGCGGACGACGCACGACGCACAACGGACGACACACGGCGGATGACGGACGACACACGGCGGACGACGCACGACGCACAACGTATGACACACGGCGAACGACGGACGACGCACAACGTACGACACGCGGCGGACGACGCACAACGGACGATACACGACGGACGACGCACTACACACGGCGCACGACGCACGACGCACAACGTACGACACACGGCGAACGGACGACGCACAATAGACAAGGTACAACAGATGGCGCCGTAACTCACAAGAACCTTCATTTTTTTTTAAGATTTTAAATAACAGATGTATTTGATTCTATCCAACCTTTTATAAACAATAATACTGCTCCTTATCCACTCTGACACAATAGATTGTTTGATGTGCCCCATACAAGAACTTGTCAATATAGCACTAGCTTCTTTCCAAAACTCATGAATGAATGGAATGGCCCATCTTGTCTGTATCCCTCATTAACTTCTATTTATGCGATAAAAAAAACTTTTTTATCACAGCAAGCTACCATTCCTGCTTTCCACTGTAATGATACTTTCAAATATAAAGGACAAAGAAAAGCTAACATAATTTTATGTCAACTAAGAAACTCTGCAAGTAATCTGAATTTTGATTTATTCAATTCCCACCTTAAAGATAACCCTGCCTGTAGCTGTGGCCATCCAGTTGAAGATTGTACTCACTTCTTTTTCCACTGTCCCTTCTTCACTAACCAGAGACAACTCCTCTTTAATTCCCTTTCTGACCTTAGTGATTCTATGCCTCCTACAATTGATACATTTCTTAAAGGTTCTCCTATACTTGATGCAAACATGAATAAATTTATTCTTGATATAGTTCAGAGATTCATAACTGACACTGGTCGCCTGTTTTAGCAAATGTACATCCCATTCTATACTTCTATCTTTTCTATCTTTCATTTGTATTTGATGTCTCAAGTGTGGGTCCGCCTGTCCATTTTAGGGACTCAGCTCAGGATTGTGTGCAAATGGACTGTTTGAACCTGCAGCCTGTCCCACCACAAATGGAGATATTTTGACCCAGTCTTGTAATATCTTGTGATACCTTATTGTACTTTTTAGTTTATGTTACTGCTCTGGAACTCAATAATACAAATGATGGTGATGCCTATTTTGCATTTCTGTTATATAATCATCCATTTGAATCTATCTTCTACATTCTTATTCCTAATATTATTATTATCTGTTATCTTTAATTTTGATTAATGTGTCTATATACTTGTTTATGCACTGTAAGGAGAGGGCTTTCATAGGCTCTGCCTGTTGCCCAATTCCTATTGTCAATACCACCAAGACAATAAAATATTCTGAAATCAAAAACCTTCAGTTCAGGTGAGGTTAACAGGTGATTATGCATTTTCTGTTCACAGGTCTTGCCGATTATTACGAGAGGTCCATAATGCCATATCGAGAGTCTGCTCGATTCATACAGCCTCTATTTACGATGGAACAGTCGAGGACATCAAACCTTTCGGTGACATTCCTGGGCCAGGAGGTATATACAGGGTACCGTACCTAGGAACAATGCTGCAATTTAAACCATTCAGTAAGTAACTTGTTATTGCTTTGTGCAACGTTATTAACATCGTCGTGAGGGGTTTAACATCTTCGCCAATGTCATATGTGAACAAGAGTTAGGAGGTGAACCAAGGTTGAAAATCCAAGCTAAGGAAGAAAGAGCATACCAGACAGAAGAAACCATAGATCCTAAAAAGAAAGGCCATGATGCCCTCTAGTGTATGATATTTATGAGTTCTGTTATAACTGGATATTGTCCTTGCTTCCTCTTATTCGTACTTACCTGTTTTTATAGTGAGAGGTGAATTCATGATATGGAAATATCAACATTCCAGAAAAACCTGTTTGCCATTGTGTTTTCCTGTCGGTCATAGTGTTTTACAGACATTCATTGTGTTTTTTAATGTCTGCAGACGGCCATTGTATTTTCCTGTGGGTCATAGTGTTTTACCGACAGCCATTGAGTTTTACTGCTGACCATTGTTTTTTACCATCGGCCATTGTGTTCTACTATCAGTCATTGTTTTTTAATGTCTGTCATTGTGTTTCACAGGCAGCCATTGTGTTTTACTGTCTGTCATTGTGTTTTACAGACAGTCGTTGTGTTTTACTGTCTGTCATTGTGTTTTACAGACAACCATTGTGTTTTACAGACAGCCATTTGTTTTGCTGTCTGTCATTGTGTTTTACAGACAGCCACTGTGTTTTACACACAGCCATTTTGTTTTACTGTCTGTCATTGTGTTTTACAGACAACCATTGTTTTTTACTGTCTGTTATTGTGTTTTACAGACAGCCATTGTTTTTTGCTGTCTGTCATTGTGTTTTACAGACATCCATTGTGTGTTATTGTGTGTCATTGTGTTTTACAGACAACCATTGCGTTTTACAGACAACCATTGTTTTTTTCCTGTCGGCCATTGTGTTTTACAGACAGTCTTTGTGTTTTACTGTCTGTCATTGTGTTTTACAGACAGCCATTGTGTTTTACTGTCTGTCATTGTGTTTAACTGTCTGTCATTGTGTTTTACAGACATCCATTGTGTTTTACTGTGTGTCATTGTGTTTTACAGACAGCCATTGTGCTTTACTGACAGTCATTGTGTTTTACTGTCTGTCATTGTGTTTTACAGACATCCATTGTGTTTTACTGTGTGTCATTGTGTTTTACTGACAGTCATTGTGTTTTGCTGTCTGTCATTGTGTTTTACAGACATCCATTGTGTTTTACTGTGTGTCATTGTGTTTTACAGACAACCATTGTGTTTTACAGACAGTCTTTGTGTTTTACTGTCGGCCATTGTGTTTTACAGACAGCCATTGTGTTTTACAGACAACCGTTGTGTTTTACAGACAGTCTTTGTGTTTTACTGTCGGCCATTGTGTTTAACTGTCTGTCATTGTGTTTTACTGTCTGTCATTGTGTTTTACAGACAGTCTTTGTGTTTTACTGTCGGCCATTGCTTTTTACTGTCTGTCATTGTGTTTTACAGACAGTCTTTGTGTTTTGCTGTCGGCCATTGTGTTTTACAGACAGCCATTGTGTTTTCCTGTCGGCCATTGTTTTTTACTGTCTGTCATTGTGTTTTACAGACAGTCTTTGTTTTTTACTGTTTGTCATTGTGTTTTACAGACATCCATTGTGTTTTACTGTCTGTCATTGTGTTTTACAGACAGCCATTGTGTTTGGCTGTCTGTCATTGTGTTTTACAGACATCCATTGTGTTTTATTGTGTGTCATTGTGTTTTACAGACAACCATTGTGTTTTACAGACAGTCATTGTGTTTTACTGTCGGCCATTGTGTTTTACAGACAGCCATTGTGTTTTACAGACAACCATTGTGTTTTACAGTCTTTGTGTTTTACTGTCGGTCATTGTGTTTTACTGTCTGTCATTGTGTTTTTCAGACAGTCTTTGTGTTTTACTGTCGGCCATTGTTTTTTACTGTCTGTCATTGTGTTTTACAGACAGCCATTGTGTTTTACAGACAGTCATTGTGTTTTCCTGTCGGTCATTGTTTTTTACTGTCTGTCATTGTGTTTTACAGACAGCCATTGTGTTTTTCAGACAGTCTTTGTGTTTTCCTGTCGGCCATTGTTTTTTACTGTCTGTCATTGTGTTTTACAGACAGCCATTGTGTTTTACAGACAGTCTTTGTTTTTTACTGTTTGTCATTGTGTTTTACAGACATCCATTGTGTTTTACTGTCTGTCATTGTGTTTTACAGACAGCCATTGTGTTTGGCTGTCTGTCATTGTGTTTTACAGACATCCATTGTGTTTTATTGTGTGTCATTGTGTTTTACAGACAACCATTGTGTTTTACAGACAGTTTTTGTGTTTTGCTGTCGGCCATTGTGTTTTTCAGACAACCATTGTGTTTTACAGACAGCCATTATGTTTTCCTGTCGGCCATTGCTTTTTACTCTCTGTCATTGTGTTTTACAGACAGCCATTGTGTTTTACAGACAACCATAGTGTTTTACAGACAGCCATTATGTTTTACAGACAGTCTTTGTGTTTTACTGTCGGCCATTGTGTTTTACAGACAACGACTGGCAGACAGCAATTGTGTTTTACTGTCGGCCATTGTGTTTTACAGACAGCCTTTGTGTTTTAATGTCGGCCATTGTATTTTGCTGTCGGCAATTGTGTTTTACTGTCTTACTGTCGGCCATTGGGGACCATGGGGAACGTGCTGTTAGAATTTGAGAATAAACATCCATTACTTCTAAAGAAATAGAAATAACAAACTAAAGCGGACAAATTTCCAACCAGTTCTAAAATCAGATCTGCATAACTAGATAAATCCACCCCACAAATTAAGATTCATGCGCTTACCTCTAACGAAATAACAATTATAACACGTCAACATTTTCTCCTGAAGTTCTGTTATCAAATATTACGATTAGGGACCAATGAAAACCCTTTTAATATTACAAAGGTAGCAGTACACAGTTTCTCGGTGTGGCCATGGGTGATTTTTTTGCTCATTAGATTACCCCATTATAAAGGTTTTAATTAAAAATGAAAAAAAAATCCTTGCTTAAATTGGTCCTGTCATGTTAAAGTGGACAATGTGGGGTTTCATTTTTTTCAGGATAATATTTTAGCTTTGTGTTGGAGATTACTATTTGGGCAGTCTCGAATCTGTGTCTACGCACCAAAACTAGCTTTACAGGAAGTGAAATTTTCATAGTGTTTCATAGAGTTGGAATTTGCTGAAATGTAAGTACTTTGTTACCATGACAGTGTTGTTGATTGTAAGATAGGTGTTTAGAATTAAATTTCTCCTAGAAAGTTGTAGTGTTGGGTTGGAATTAGCAGTATTTTTGCATTTTTAGCATTTTTTCAGTAGGTAACCATGACAATCAAATGTTAGAAATCAGAGGAAATTTTTTTTACACAAATTTCATCTCTCTACTGTTAATGTAATTGTTTTATAGTTTATAAATATATATACATGTAATGATGTATTTTCCATAACCAATCTGCTATACCTGTATATCTCAAACATGACAAATAATTTCAGGAAAAATGCAAATTAACTGTTTACTGCTACCAAAAGACCTGGTGATAATGAATCATAACTGCAAAATTCCAAGGTGGCCGCCTGTTAGCCATTTATGTAATTCCGATCAGTTCCATGGGCAGTGCTTATCTAGGGATAAAAGGGGACATGGTCCATCAAGTACTTCTAACGATATAACGATTTTAAACCATAACTATCCAAACCAATGATGTTTACCATTCGATACTATATCCAACAAGTCAGCATGGAGTGATAAAACTAATTGCTTGTGGTTAGACGGACTACAGACGATGGCGATTTGAACAGTCAAAAAGGTGCTTCAGTGAAGACAGCGGTTTGGTCCCTTCAATGTATCCATGGTAGAATTCACAGAAAAAAAACCCGATTCTGCTTGGGCCCTGTTATAAGTCGCTTTTTACACTGGTACATTGGTTAACACTCCCGAGAGGTCAAGGCTATTGAAATATGCCTAATTAGGATTTTGAAATGTTATAGTTAGTAACGGTATGTACATAGAAGAAGCTTACTTATGCTTTAGATTTTATTGGTAAATTGACAAACAGTGAGATAGAAATGTATATTTGTTCAATTCAGTTCCGTAACATAAATGTCATCCTCGATACCCATGGATTTACGATCACTGCATTCCTGTCACATTTCATGGCGAAAATGAAGGCCCTATGTGTGACACTTTGGTGATAAGATGAGCAAAATGATTGGATACTTTGATGTACATCAGTCTGTGACTGGTCAGTTTTTTTCTCTCCTGAAACAAACTCTAGACCAGTCAAATTGTTTCGCTTGTACCTGCAACTTTGACATTAAATATTTCAACTGCGCAGAAAACGATAGTAAGCGTATCTCCTGGATGTATGAATATCCACTGTTAAGGACCCCTATTTAAGGATGAATATAGTGAATGTTGAATATAAGGATGGTTGTATATAATGTGAATCGTATATGTGTGGGAATGTGCTATTGATGTTAGTCACATCGATCCGTTCATTCGTGATTAAAGTCCTATCAATAGCTATGTAAATTTAAGGTAAACCTCCAATTTTATTTACATAGTGACTTGTTTTGTTTTTATATAGCTTAACGTCTTATCAACCGCTATGTATATTTCAGGAAGACATTCCAATGTATTCACACAGCGACTTGTTTTGTTTTTATATTGCTTAGCATCCTATCAACCACTATGCATATTTGAGAGTGGCCTCCCTATATCTGTATCGTTGAGTGTACATACTTGTGGAAGGTTGCAATGTGATAGTTTAGAACTGGTGCAGACTACAAATACTTCATAACATTGTCCGCTGAGATATACTTGGTCCTAAATTGGATTGCTCTTTTTCTAAGCTGACATCTGTACTAGAGACGTAGAGAGCCTGCTACGTGCGTTTCGTGACAAATATGGGGATATTTCGAGATTCCGGATGGGCAGCGACTACTGCGTGTGTCTTTCATCGCCCGAACTTTGTCAACAGGCTTTGTCAGTCACTCCGAAGCTTCCAGACAGGTTATTTAGCTTCCCCATATGTCAGGCGTTTTACGACAGAACAGGTGAACAAAGAGGGCTTTTGCTGCTGTGAGTATTTAATATCGATTTATATCAGTAAGTAAATATAATTGTGAACAAATCCCAAATGACCTCTCTGACTTGTCTACTGTTCTTTAAGAAAAAAAATGCTGATATACCTACCGAATGTTGAGGTTGAAAACCTTTAACTGTTCCTGTTGTTACAATTCATCATATAACTAACCTCGTCATGGTTTTCGACAGTTTGTTATTAGCAGACCCGCACTATAATACATGTCAAATATGTTTGTACTTTCTATACGTCCCAGACAGTATATAGCAGACTAGATACGGACCTTAACACTAATGATAAATAAGATATGTGATCTGACATGGGACAGATTTATTATCTCCCTTGTCATAGAGGAGACTCGGTCAGTGGGGTCTCTAACCGGACACCGTACATACTGAGTTCAGGTATGTTCACTGTCAGCTTTACACATATCTCAAACATAGCACCACCCACTTTATATATATCATACAGTTACACTGTCTTATAGTGTCACTCGCTCGGCTCTAAAACCACTTATTACTGCTAAAAGCTTGCCATTTAGACCATTGTCTAACAGCTACATGTACAAGAACAGTGACTGTATCCTTCCACCAATTCTTTAATATCATTAGTAACATCCGTTAATCCCACAACAGTTAACATTCTAGGAGTGATGGATGTCAAACAATTGTATTTGTTAGATAATCCGAGATGTATCATAAACTACTGTATTTCGAAAATAAGTACGTAACACAATTACTAGATATCTTAATTCCTGGATCACAAATACCATCAAAGCAAACGTACATCACCAATGTCTCATAAGACTTTTTTCTAACTTTATAGAAATTCTTCATTTGTCGATGGCGGCAACGATTGCAATAAAGTAAAAAAGCAATCCCCTTTTTTTGTCTCAGTCAATTAATGACAACTATACAAAAAGCGATAAAACAAACCAATTAGATATACAAAGTTGATGTGGTTCTAGAGTAAATCACAGCCTGCCTTAAGATGTGTGTTGTATTTTATTTATCATCGGCAATTCCCGCATATTTTTACTGTATTTGTACTGACGATCACAAAATATCAAACTAATGAAATAATTATTTAAAAACAGATCATAGAAATAATAGTTGATAAACTGTCATAATGATTTTTTAAATACTAAAATAGAAGAGAAAACATATGACAATGAAAAACAATTCCCTTTTTGTTCTACAGCAGGCTTTGATACGTATATTTAACGTAACATTGACTTCTGGATATCCTAATCCTCGATAAAGTTATAAAGACCAGATATTGTCTAACGACCTGTTTGCAAAACTCTTCCGACCGAGTGTATGTTACATGTCAATATTATAAGGAATGGCGAAGACTGGGCCCGTGTTCGGAAGCCTACCCAGAAATTGACAAATCGACCCACAAGTCTGGAACCATACCTACCAAAACTTGGCGACGTGGCCGACGATTATGTGAGCAAACTTAGCCAGTCTTTATTGATTGAGGACGTGCAACACTCATTATACCGTTTCACCACTGAAAGTAAGCAATAGCTTTATTGTTTATAGTGTCATTCCTTTTCTACATTATAAAGTATCAAATTCCCAGTGTAAACATGACATTCGCTCTACAACAGACAAAACGACTTCCGGTTTTCCATAAACGCGAAAGCTATTGCAGGATAACATCCTGTCATTTTGACATAAGCTTAAAATTAATATGTTATCATCTGAAAACATCATAACACACGTGTACAAAACAAGTTTCTTTAGAAAGTCTAATATCATTGTTGACATTTTTATCGGTTGGAACAGGTGTCGGTATGCTTTGTTTCAACAAACGCCTGGGATGCCTTGATGGTGGGCACAAGTTCGATACTATCATTGAAGGTCTTGACATTTTCGTGGAAGCTATCGAAAAGGACCTGAAAACTGTAGTAAGGCCGCACAAATTCCTTGGGTTGAGGACGCCATTTTACAAACGATTTGAAGAGACATTTCTGGCGCTGAGAAAGTAATAGCTTTGTTTCTTATTGTCACGAGTTTTCCTTTTCTGTACTTCATAGAAAGTGTTATGGAACTATCGGGAAGTGTTTGTGAGCTACCGGGAAGTGTTCGTGAACTATCGGGAAGTGTTCGGGAACTATCGGGAAGTTTTGGGAACTCTCGGGAAGCACACCATAGAAATAGTTTGTCAGATAGTACCAGTGTAAACATCCGCAGATGAATGAGATCTGTTCTGACTTTATATTATTTACCGACCTATCAACAGTTATCATCATTAAAGTTGGCCTCCTGATGAATGCAAGGCATTTCATTTTTTAACTAGTAGTAACATGAGTTTGTCTACGATAAAATAATGTGTATATAATTCGTTCTTACAGCTGATTAGTCATGTTGAGAATTGAAAAGATCCTCTAATGTTTTTGCCTCTTAGTACAGCTGATATTGTCCACGTTAGATTGAGAACCTGCTTCTCGTATCATGGTATACCACGCGGCCATGTTACACTAACAAGGGGGTGTTGTTTAGGATGGGTCAGCCCGTGTTAGTTTAATGTGAAAGGATGTGGTGTCATCTAGGCAACATTATTATATAATACAGAAAACCTTTTATTGTTAAATCGCTATGGTTTGTAAACCATGTTAAATGTCTAAGCCTTTCAGGTCCAATTTTCGCAAAAGTTGTTTTAGTCACTTTACGTCCCGTCGTAATGATTTTAACGCTGAAAGATCAACAACAACAAGCCATATTATTCTCATTTTCTGATCTCCAGGTTTAATTGAGATTTTGACAAAATCTGATTTTACATATCATGGATATTAATCGCATGAAATGACATTTATTCTTTTAATTCGTAGATATGTTTTATCTATTTCATCTACGCTAAAGTCTTTGTAAAGAATACGTCTCCGAGATCATTGTGGAGTATTGTCGTTTGGAAGAGGAGGGACAACTAGAGGAACACATGGAAAAATATCCCAACATGGTGTTTACTCTTCTACAGGATGGTAGACTTGACGAAGGCACCGTCACTACCACTGTAACGGATATGTTTATCGCGGGAGTAGATTCTGTAAGTCTCTCTTCATCTAAAAAGACACTGTGTTGATATTTGTAGATTATTTAAGGTATTTAAAATCTAACAGATATCTGTGCAACAATTAAAATTTGATTACGCTCTCTATATATAAATTTGTATTAAATAGTGTTATTCACTTGTGTGTACTTTGTACAGTTTTATAGATTGCTGTTGAAAGACTCTGCTTTCTAAATGATATACATATAATGACACGACTTGGAATATTTACATGTATCTGACGCTTTTCGGAAATGATCAGATGTATATGAATTTATGAAAGTCAATGAATTATGGGTCTAGTGCTCCCCATTTCCCGTCCTCTAGATTATGGAATTCAATTTTTCTTCCGATCACTTTGGATTTTTTCTTGCCACCATGGTTTAAAACTGTAGGTCCTTAGCATCACTGACGAGTTCTAAAAGAAATAGGTGTATAATGCAGTGAGATTCATTGTTAAGCTGTTTTCAGCCATATTTGAATTGAATTATGCTATTTACTTGTATGTCTTTTACATATTGTTTTACTTACAACACAATAACAAAATGTAAACAATTTAATGTAAAGTGTAACTAATTTTACAGGCAGCGAAGACTTTAAGTCTTGTTCTACAGAATCTGGCCATTAATCCTGAGAAACAGGAGAAACTGTACGAGGAACTCCATGCAGCGGGGCTGAGTCCAGGTGAACCACTCACCAATACTCTTCTGTCCTCACTGCCCTACCTTAAAGCCTGCATCAAGGAATCCATGCGGTAGGCGATTTTCCTTGGCTTCTCGTGTCTTTCCTCCAGTGATCGAACATCATATCTACAGTGAGATAAGCCCTGTTCATTCCCTTCTCCGACATATGAAGTTTATTGATTAACCCAAAATCAAACGTATATCTTAAAATTGTACAATTCGAAGTGCTGATTATGAAAGGTATCACTGCTGCACCTCTACTATACTGTTATGGATATCAACCAAGCTACTTAAACCAATGCTTTCTTGTTACTTGTAAATGTGAGAACTGTTGCAGGCTTCACTACCCGTCCTCTGGAGGAATATTGAGGAATCTGACACAAGACATGAACATTGGAGGATACCACATCCCTAAAAAAGTGAGAATTTTTTTCTATCCCACCTTACTAATAGATTATTTCATACACCGTAGGGTGAGCTGGGTGGATCCTCAGGGGAAGGCTATTAAATGTCAACACAAGACTTCCCTATCTGATCCTATTGGGGTGAATGCTTTATTGTTATATATGGCTTTTATTACTACAATGAAAAGGATAATGATTAACTTTATCCCTTACTTTTATCTACATGTAATTAATATGGTTGACGAGAGATCACAAAGTGTATCGCTTTATTGGACTAGTGCACCTCATCATCTAGCTTCTTTTACTTTTCTTTCGATCAAGTTGAATTTTATTCAGTCGCCTTCTTGGCTTAAAATATGCAGTTATCATCACTGATGAGCCCTAGAAGGACGAAACAGCTGTGTGATGTAATATCACTGAGGAGTCCTAAAAGGACGAAACAGCTATATGATGTAACATCACTGACGAGTCCTTAAAGGACGAAACAGCTGTGTGATGTAACATCAAGAACGAGATCTAGAAGGACGAAACAGCTGTGTGATGTAACATCAAGAACGAGACCTAGAAGGACGAAACAGCTCTGTGACATAACATCACAGACGAATCCTAAAAGGACGAAACAGCTGTGTGATGTCACCATGTTCATTTATTTATTCATTCATTTTCTATTTCCGTGAGCCATCCGACTCATAGGTTAAATAACAAACACATAACGCATGATATTATACGTGGTACTTAGTTGGTATAAATACTCTGGTGTTATCATGTACCACATAGACAACGGAAGATGGACAGCTCTTGTGTAGTTACTTTATATACGTGTACATTGATTTTACATAGGAATACATAGGCTAGAAAAGAACCATAAAGGGTAGTGACGACTTTTACTATCAGCATATCAAATATATGGTCGAACAGGGCATACATATGTACAGAGTGGTGTAGTCAGGGGATGGACGGCAACATTATCATTATATAATGTTGTAGACAAACAAATACTCATGCAATGTTAATCAAAGTGTTAAGACAATAAGTTAAAGTTGGAATCTATACCGTACTAATAAACTTAACTGTAGATACTTTCCTTAGTTACAAATTTCCGTTCTGTTACGTACAGATAGCAGCTGGACAAGTTAATATGAAGATGGATGGTTCCAATAATACTTTTTTAATGAACTTTTTACCAAAATCTACATATAGTAGACAAATCAGAACAAAATAGAACTTGTTTTCTTATTACAAAACCAACATAACTTAATCTCTCTCGGAATATTATGATAATGACCTTTCTTCTAGTTATATAAACTGATGGGATGAAAGTTGTCATTTCGATATACATCTGGGATAGACTTTGTTTAATAAAACTGCAATGTAAAACTATACATCAGGAATTTATACAAATAGCATTTTGATGACCGCTCAACAAAATCATTCCCTATTTGAATAAAATTATCAATCAAACGCTGCTTAAAACAACATAAAAATACTTTGTTATTACCAACATAATGAGTTAACCAGACGTTACCAAAACCAGAGGACAAAAATAGTTCCTTAACTTGACAACACCAATTACAGTTTCTGTTACATTCTTCCCTTTCTTCTTAAATTGACTTAAGGACACAATAATTACATTTAATTAATTTCAACCAATATTTCATTATTCTACATTTCCTGATTATATTCATAGGCAGATGTCGTAATTCCGAGTATACCATAAAAGATGGCGTACTGTTTTGTTTTTTCAATTTAGGATTGTTTAAAAAATCAACATGTACATTGCCACTGTGTCCGCGGCATTTATGCCCCATATTTCGTAACCATAATTATGAACAGGGGCAACATATATATAAAAAATGTTGAGTTTTGATTCTACATTGAGTGACAAATTCTTAAAAGCTCTTAATACATTTTACAAATACTTTCGACCTTGCTCAGCAATTGTGAACTGAGTTTTTGTAACCTTACCATTAACATTAAGCAATACACCGAGATATTTAAATCTGTCAATAATTTCTATTTCACATTCGTTAAAATTTCTCATCAGTTCGTAATCTTCTACCATTTCAAAATAATGCAATTTTTGTTTTCTCAGTATTAACTGTCATATCCCAATTATCACTGTATTTTTTAAAGAGTGTAACATTTTCTGCAAACCAGAGGCAGATTCTCAGAAGACGACAATTCCATCTGTAAACATAAGGAGAAACAAAGAAATATCTCTTAAAGATAAAGCGTCACAGGAAGTATTTATAAGTTCATTTTCAAAGTCATTTTCATACGTCGAGTAAAGGAAGGGAGATGACCCCTCCCCTTGCATCGAGCCTCGTTAGCATACAAAAAATTCAGAAAACACAGCCTTATACTTAACACAAGACTTTAAACCTTCATATAAAGACTTCACAATATCCAATAGTTTTCCTCTGACTCCACTATGAAAAAGTTTCAAAAACAATTTATGTCTACTTAGACCATCGAAGGCCTTACTATAGTCAACAAAACAGCAGTAAAGCTTACAATTATTAGAACGCATTGTAGAATAGCTGTGATGAAAACCCGGAAACTTGTCTTCTTATGACTTCTCCGATGTATTTCTGCAGACATTTTAATTGCTACGTCGACGATGAGTACTTATGAATAGTGAAGGCCATTTTGAGATGGCACATGACAAATTCTCTGATGATTTGAATGTTGTAAGATCAATTGTATCGATATCAGTCTCCATTCACATATCGTTATTGTTACATGTACAGGCCATCATTATACCGGCTGGATTTCGTGTTATTTTCTCACATATGCGAATAGTGCAATATTTGATGTTATGAAATATTATGATGATTATACTATTGAAAATATTCATATATTTTGATATCAATTCTATTGTCCGATTTTTGAAACACGACAGGATATATTTGTGTTCTCAAATCTTACCATTTTCGGAGACATGTTTTTACATTATTTTCTTATTTTTAAAACCAATTTCTCAAACTTGACAAGTGAGCCTAGACAACGAACATTCTCAGTCAAACCAGCCATATGCTTCTTTTCTTCTTTCTTTTTAAATTGAATTAAGAAAACTAGCTATTGTAGATACAATTATGACCCGTATTTCTAATATGTTACTGGTACAGTACAATAGGTCTAGTATGTCAAGACTACATTCGGAAATTAAAAGTAGCGTGCAATATATGGCATCCGCATGAAAGCGAATATTCGAACACTGAATAAGGCGAATATTCGGATAGAAATTTCTATCAAATTAATATCCCTAAAACAAGGTGGGATTGTTCTAACCCCAGAATTCAATGAACTATGGTTTTCTATAAGGGATGATATCATCACGTTCATGTGAATATCTCTAACCTTGTCACTGCTCTTTATTCTATAAATTGCACATATTACAATAATAGAATTTTTAGATTAAAGTCCTGACGTAAACAACTACTGTGCGTCATCAAAAGTAATAAATTAGTACGATATTATTGTGTTTGTTTCCCCAGACAAACGTGTTAATAGCCAATGCTGTTATGGTGAAGGATGCCCGTTACTTTGACGACCCTGACCAGTTTCTGCCTGAGCGTTGGCTTCGTACAGACACATCGACATCTCAAGTGGTCAAAGCGTTCTCCAATCTTCCATTTGGACACGGAAACAGAAACTGTGCAGGGAGACGATTTGCTGAGAGAGAGATGCAAATTGGCGTAGCAAAGGTTATTAACTCTCATCAAAACGATACGAATTTTCAGTATTGGGAGACAAAATGTTGCGATGTTTCATCCTCATCACACGTTCAATATCGTAGCCCTGTTGGCCGTTTTTTTAACACGATTGCGCAATAATTGTTTCCTTGAACAACACCTATTTCAAACTCCAGTGGAATTGAGCTGGAAGGCGTCTGAAATGGTCCTGAGATGATCTTGACTAAGTGTGTTTTTTCGGATCGGTCGTCATCCTTTAACAATATATTTCAAAACTTCTTCTCTATTTCACTGGTGCCATTGAGCTAACGGTTGATGGGAAAGTTAAGGAAGGAAAACCAGCAAAGTCTTATTTTCGGCCTCGTTTAAAAATGGCGACCATTTTGTAACAGGATTAAGCAATCATAGATTTAACATCAACATCCAACAACATCTGCTTTTCCCCTTCTCTAGTTCCAGCTTAATCTCCCCATGAAAACTTCATCCTTATACGGTCCTGACAAACTGTTTTTTTCTGGCCTGTCAAAAATCCAATATTGCAGCCATTTTCAATTTTGAAATTTCTATCAAGGTCCATTGGCGCCATTGAGCTAAAATTTTGTGGGAATGTTGAGAAATGAGGAGATATGCTGCTAAAAAATTGGAAACTGTCTTAAGAATTAAATGAATGCTTATGAGAGTCCTTTTTAAAGTCTAGTACAAGAAAAATTCTAAAATAGATATGATGTACATATATGATAATTCAAACTACTGCTGCCTTGGCTGTTTTTGGTTTGAAGTAAAAAAAAAACTTGCTCTCTCAGTTAATTAGGCTGTTAACTTTCAGCATCTAAGATTTGGAAAGTGTGTTTTGCGATAACTCTGCCGGTATGCTACAATGTAGAGAAGGTGACCTATGTGTTTAGTTCACTATCTCTAGATACAATATCATAGTGACCCAGTATGTTACAATGTAGAGAAGGTGACCTATGTGTTTAGTTCACTATCTCTAGATACAATATCATAGTGACCCAGTATGTTACAATGTAGAGAAGGTGACCTGTGTGTTTAGTTCACTGTCTTTGCACATTATCCTACAGTTTTGTTTAACACAACAACAATATGATGTAGTGGTAAGTTTATTTTTTTTAATATCATAAATCGGAATATCGACTATGTTGACATATGGACATTTTGAAATTTAATTTTGCTCTATATTAATTGGATTTGTATGGCTACTTTTTTTAGCTCATCCAAGCCTTCCGAATCAGCCTACCTCCAGGCTGTCCGACTGTCACTCACGACTACAAGACGTTTGCGGCTCCAAAAGGTAAACTGACCCTCAAATTGGAAGCCCGGGAGTGATAGAAATACCGAACATCTACGTCCTGTGTCACTTGGACGAATTTAGGCACTGGATACTGCTGACTAGAAAACAATGAACATAAGAAATCGCGTTTGGAGACTTTGTATAGTAGGACTGAGTTAGAAACTCGAGCCTGTTTTCTAAAGGTAATACCTGTTCAGGCTTAGTGGAGCATCTGATGAAAAATTCAGAGCTCAAAGACTTTGGTTTATTTGCAACTTAGTCATGTGTTACTGAAAGCAGAAGATAGGTATACTTAAGTTTACAATCTGATACGGTACGAATATTAATATACCATATTTATTTATATCATAACACCATATATGTCATACAATGTATAAGTATACGTATCGAAGGTTGATTCATGAACATACATGAATGTTTTATTACGTGGCATAAAGGAATATTGGTCACCTTATTGCGTACCCGGATGTACATAGATAGGTTATGGTCAGATATGTCCCCGTGTATATTTTTGTAGTAGGTACCGACATCCCCGAGCGGAAACAACACATACTTTAGACATTTAATATCCAACAGGAAATAGAAACTTAAACGATTAAATAAATATGTTGTTTCGATTTCAGAATTCAGCTTTCAGTATAATCGACGCATGTTTTTTTTTTTATTTGTATCTACGTTCAATGTTAAAACGTAATTTCCTTATTGAATGCATCAAGCTATCAGTAACTGATACGATTTGATCGGTGTACATTTTAATGGTCCTGGAAAAATATCTCCAAATCAATACCGGTGTTATCGATTTTATTTCAATGTTGTATACACGAGTCAATTGAGCAATCCCTCATTCCTCAAAGTTGGCCTTAATTTAAACAATATATCAAAATTATAAGATGATATTAACGAAAGTACCTAACATCATTTGTGGTCCCTCGGGTTCCTTCGGGATCCCTCGGAGTCCTTGCTGAGTTTGTGTACATAGTACTAAGCGTGTTATCAGATATGTAGTAAACGTAGGAACCAACCTCGGCTCCATTGTATATAGAAAGTTAATAAAAAGTATTTAAATAAATAAAAATATTCATTATCATTTTGTCCTACAGTTAAACACCACGCAAGATTTTCTTTTAAGTCATTAAAGCAATCAGACACATCACAGTCAGACACATCACAGTCAGACTCATCACAGCCAGACGCATCACAGCCAGACGCATCACAGTCAGACACATCACAGCCAGGCACATCACAGTCGGACACATCACAGTCGGACACATCACAGTCAGAACAATCACAGTCGGACACATCACAGTCGGACACATCGCAGTTACACACATAATAGACACGTTTACATCAATTAGTCAGGGAAAATGCCGTCAGGATGTATTATTAGATACAGTACAGTCCAATACTAAGTACGACAGGGTGTTCTAGTTTTTCTTTGAATGACGTTGATAATTTATATCAATGAAAATTGTTATGTTATGTAACATTCCTGGTATATACGGACTTACAATCTCTGGCATACAAATGTTTTTTTTAGATCATTATTTAATAAGGTCAAAATTTCAACAGCCAAGTCTACCATGACAATAATATTGTACAGAAGATATATGTTTAAAACAGATAATAAGAATAAGATACAGATAAGCCAGTTGAGGAATGTAATTGTATCATACAGCTGTTTCGTCCTTCTAGAGCTCGGCTCGTCAGTGATGCCTAGAGGCCTAGGGTATCGAAACTTAAAGGCGACCGAATACCCTTGATCAGCTGAACATACCATCACCTAGTATTTACTTCCCTTACACTTAAACTGAAATCCTGAATTACAAGGATTACTCTCTGCCAATATTAGCCTTCAGTGAAGATTTCTCGCAACCATTAAAATATTCAACACTCCATCAGAACATCACGCAACTGTTGACGAAAGGAAAATCATCCGTCTCTATGGTAAGAACGAGAATCTATGAGATCGGTAAAGTTGCTGACATGTCTCTCTACTGTTAACGAACGACGATTACCTCCCTTTAACTACCAAATCACATTCTTTTTTTTTTGTTTTGTTTTTTTTAAATACATGCTTAGATGTTGTATATCGTACAACAACAACAACAACAACAACAATAAAATACTTCTATGTCAACCATAATCCAAACTCAAAGACAACTGACAGCTATTGGTGATATCTCGGAACATTTTAAGGTCATGGACTTTGATTGTCGATAATATTTTACCGTTTTTATTCCGAATATAGGGAGATGACTAACAAATTGTCAGGGACGGCGTAGGGGAGATAACTCTGTCGGGTGAGACGGGGAAGTATGTAATGAAACGACTGATTGTTGGCACTCCATGATAGTGTGTACCCCTTTAAAAAAAAGCCTGTTGGAGGTTTGTCCATCCTCGATACTCCGGGGCACCTAATACTTCAGGGGTTACGATTACTTTCGCACACTAAACTCCTGGAACATGTTATGACAAGAGTGCAGGTTCCGTGTGCAACACCTTGTGGACATGACGAAAAGAGTAGATTGGTCCTTTGATGTACATCAGACAAATCTCAAGGTCGCATAACGGTATATTGTCATGGCTTTGAAGTTGGGTGTCGTTCATTTGTAATCTTCAAAAGGAGCGCATCAGCCTGTGATTGGTCAGTTGTTTTCCCTTCTGGAACCAATCAAATTGCTTTACATGTGCCTTCAATTTTGCTTTGGCCTGGGGTGCATAGAGCGACAGTGATCGTCATAGAATATAGTCGCCCCCTTTACACTAGAATTAACCTCTGCACGTTTATTGAAATTTCATGTAGTGAGATTACGAATATTTCCGTTAAGTTCTAACTAAAGATTCTCATCTAAGTCCACATTGTTAGAAATAAATATATTTTTTCTGTATTTAACACAAATAGTCATGTATTTGCCTACGTATTGAACTTTCCGTAAGTTCTAATTAATGTGATGAATGAGTGAATTGTCATCTGACGAGAGGTGTATTTGAAATTTCGTCAATATCATTGATGAAATTGAGGAATAGAAGCGGTCCAATAATTGAGCGTGGTTGGAGTCCCAACTTCAATGGCACTTACGGAAAAATAAACATTAGTTTTACCTTTTGACGTCTACGTGGTAAATAGTTTCCTTACTGTTGTCATTTTAGTTTTCATTACATTACGAGTCAGCCACCAAAACATCGTAACTCACAAAAAGTCATCCAAACGTTTGATACATGTACTTTCCATATCGGTAAAGCAGATCCGAATAAATATCATTTTGCAATAAAGATTTTGGATTCGGCGGATATATCTTGGTCATCGGGTCATCGGGTCACGCCAAATCAATTATATTCTTCTTTTGGCCTCGTTACTATAATATGTCGAGGGCGGACAATAGCAATTTTACAAAATCATCATTATCATTACTTTTTGTAAGCTGTATATCGTCGGCTGGCTGACAAAACCTCGTAAGTCCAAAATTTGTTTTTTACAGGGGGAAGAAAAAACATTCTATAAACCAAATGCAACTGTGTTTCTTACTTAAAGTTGTTCCAAGGTTATTTTTACCGACCTTTATTTAAGATACCAAGGTCATGTTGTTAAATCAATATGCGCCTGATGAAGAAGTGGACATACAATATTTTGGTTCTGAAAATTTATGCCAATTTTGGACATACAACATTTTTGCATAAAATGTATGCTTTGATTTACGACTTTAAAATCTAACAAAAAACCATAAAAATAACGAAAGTCGTTCATAAATCAATAAAACAGAGTTTAATTAACATGAACAAAACCAAAGCAATTCAACAACAGTATCAATGAAATAATTAAACCTCTCGTATGACTAGAAAAAAATAAATAATTATTTCAAAAGTAAAACGTATAGCGTATAAACATCATTCATGTTTTCAGCATTAAAATTTAAAAAAAAGTATAAACATTATTCATGCTTTTCGGCATAAAAGTTCAAAAAAGGATAAAAAATGTAAGCAAAAACCACAGTCCTTATAAAATGATGATCACCTAATACAAGATTAGATATACATTCGGGAATCAACACAGATAATTTGTTAGACTGGCTGTCTGTTTTTATCAACAACAAAAAATACACAATTCAGCTTTAACTGTATAGCAATAGATTCACATAATAATCACATTAAGTATTTTCTGTAAATGTTACTTTTAAACACCCTTTACTTTTTGCTAAGCGTTTCAATGATTCAATGATTCTTAGATCTAAACAGTTTAAGTATAACATAATCCGATATGAAAACGATAGAAATAATTTTCAAGACTGAACAGGTTCATGTATGGCGTAGTACGTCATAAAACGGATGAAAATCCCGTGGAATCACATTTTTTAGTTCTTGAAGGTGTTTGTACTTTGATTCTTTCACCTTACATTGTGTAGCGTGAAGTGGTGCAACTGTCATTTCAGGTGTAGCTTGTTCATTAAGTTTGGCCTTTCTAGGAAAGTCACAAAACTCCTGATCATACATCAGCTTATACCTAATACCACAATGGGGAGAATATTCCAAAACACGAATGTCAGTCACAACAGGATCACCTACTTTAGTACCTGGCCTGATACTTGAATACAAGTTTATGTGCGAAAAGTTCTTGAAAAATGTGTGATCGACGTAGTGAACATGGTAAGGTTGAGACGGACGGACAGATTTGATTATATCTACGTAATTCTGTGGCACATAAATTGGCTTTCTCTTCAGTTTGCTTTCAATGGTGCTGTGTACGCTGTCTACCTCCATTTGGGTATGTCCTTTCTCCAAATATTTTTGTAAGATAGTTAAACCCCTTTCTTTTGCTAATTTGGACAATGCGTTTGCTAACACCGTGTTCCGGTTCTGGTATGTGCAACCATCGCTGTAAAGTACAACTGTTTTAATCTCTTTATCAGATTGAGCTAGCATGTCTTCAATAAAGTGGACAATACAAGAAGCAAACGAATTTCCAGTCAGATCACCCTCACCTTCGTGCCAAAAGTAGCAAGTAACATCTTTCGTTGCTAAGTCATAGAGTGTGAAATTATGGCATGCAAGCTTGGTCTTATAATAAAGAGCGCTGGCCTGAAGTCTTGGTGAAAGAAGAACGCACTGAAGATCCATAGTTACAACTCTGTAGGTATTGTCAGATATCGACTTTTCCTTGTCTCTGTTCTTTTCGTCTCTTGCAGCTTGTTTCCTTGACAAGTGTTTCTGAAACACTTCCTCTTTAATATTGCCAGTTTCAAACCCACAGCACAGATCACACTGGTCTTTTTTTGGAGAAAAAAGACTCAGATTTTGGTCATCAAACTCGGATTTAAACAACTTAAGACACGCTGCTTTCAAGCTATTTTCATCACAATATCGTTTGTATTCATGATGCAACTCCGTCAGTGTAGTAAAAAGAGGTTCCAAGTATTGCTTAGAGCTTGAGGACCTGCAGTAATGAGACTCTAGTTTCGGAAGTGTTTTCAAAAAGTCAACAACACTCGTCCTTAACTCTGCGTCTCTTTTTCTCCTCGTGTCTCCTTTCTTAGATGGAGGTGGATTGATTGGAATACCTGTGCTCGACATATTGACCCAACCATAAACAGTTTGTTCTCCTACAGCCAAAGTTGTTAAAAACATACTTTTACATACCACAACTTTTTCCTGGCCTTTCCACAATCTATAAACAAAGCTATGGCTTTTCCTACTTTCGGCTGCTGCTGTTCTTTTTCTACTTGTTTCAGATTTAGACACCAGCGAGTTGACATACACTTTTCGTTGATTCCAGTCAAGGTTATTCCAAAATTTATTAAAAATAACAAGCCTGTCATCTTCACTAAATTCTGCACACATTTTAACTTTTGAGTTTTGGCATTTTTTGGAACAACCTTTTGGGGCCAATATGCGACCTGGTCTTTGAGCCGAAAACTGATATTTGCCGTCTTTTTTTGTCAGTCCAGAATACTGTTTTCCTGACATTCTCAGCATTTTGTTTTTGTTTTTTACCCATTCATTACTATTACATTTCTTCCTTTTGACTGGTTTCTCATCGACAACTTC